AATCTAACCACCACCAATCCACAACTGAGAAGTGACATTTCCAGCTAACCTCAATGTGTTCAGAGTGTTTCTTCTTGGCTCATTACACATTTTTTAGTTCCTTTCCTGGAGCCAGCCCAGTATTACAGAATTTATGAATGCAATTTATTTACATATATTTTGATACACCTTGTTGAAACTGATCATCATATCAATAAAAGCAAGCTTATAAACTGATATTTAATAATCATTTCATAATTGCAGTGCTTCTGTTTCATAAAATCAAATACAACAAATAAATATTTTCAGGGGGTTCGTCAAGCTGGCATGTTACAGCAAAAAACACTCAAGTCTTCTGATACCTTAACATTTGGCCAAAACCTTCATGGATGACAACATTTGAAGTGATGTAAAAGAAGACAGCTTGAAGAAAAAGTGACTTTGCTTTTTTGACATTTTAGAACACTTGATTTATTGAATGCCCCACTTCCCCACTCCCCATTAATACTTTAAGTTGTCCAAAATAGCATAACTTAGGACAACTTCAAAACAGATACAACTAAATGTACAGCAATAAAATACAATTAATCATGAAACAAGAAATAAGAGATTAAAAAATCCAAAAAAAGAAGTGACCAACTTCAAACAAAAATACGGCACAAGAGTGAAAACCAAAATTACCCAGTGAAGATAAAGGAGGAAGTCAACAAAAAGAACTTGTATCTAAACGATTTTTTAACTGCTATGTATTTTTCTCTCTTTTCCTTTCCTTCTTTCTTTTTTTCTTCATCTCTCCTTTTCCTTTCTCTTTCCTCTTCTTCTTCTTCTCCTTCTCTCCTTTATCTCTGACTTCTAGTCGCCCCCCTCCCCAATACACTCCTAACCCATCCTCGCACATCCCTATATCCAACCATCCCTAACCATACCCCTCCATCTGACCCTCTCTCTGCTTTTAAAACATTTGTAAGCAAAATTAAAATAAACATATTATTAAAAATACAATTAATCAAATGATAATACAGTATTAAAAACATGCAATGATTTAATAGCAATTTATCTATACATTGGGGCAATTTGCATTTCCTTCCACTAAATCCATATTTCAGAAGTCAATGGTATAGATATATGTGGTTTAACAATAAACTGCACATTTGATACAGGAGGCTGAAAGACAGATCACATGGCAATCTGAACTAGAATAGACCCATTCAATCAACTGTTGGTAATACAATGGATTAAACCCCTGTGCCAGCAGGACTGCTGACCGAAAGGTCAATGGTTTGAATCTGGGGAACAAGGTGAGCTTCCATCTGTCAGCTCCAGCTTCTCATGTGGGGACATGAGAGAAGCCTCCCACAGGAAGGTAAAACATCCAGGTATCCCCTGGGCAATGTCCTTGCAGACGGTCAGTTCTCTCACATCAGAAGCGAGTTGCAGTTTCTCAAGTCGTTTCTTACACCGAAAAAAATCAACTGTTGAATAGTGAATCAATATATAGATCAATCTCATTGATTCTACGCAGTAATAACAGGATTTAGGTCGTTTTATAGTAACAGTCTCTTTGTCTATCTTCTCTATATTTTACTCTTTAGTCTAAGCTAGGAAGGCACTTGGAAAGTACTCAATAAATTCAATTTGGGTGAAAATGGATTTTTAAACTATAAGAAAAGAGGAGCTACATAAATATTAAGAAGACATACCTGGTAGTAAGAGCTTTTCAATAATGGAAAATATTGTATTGATTTGTAGCTGATATGTGGAAGTTTTTAAACAGAGAATGGGTGGCTATCTTTTGGGAGTACTTCGGCTGTGTATTTCTGCATGGCAAGGGGTTAGACTGGAAGGCCCTTATGGTCTTGTCTATCTCTATGATTGCGTGAATCATTTCAATTTCTTGTTTATGGTTTTTGACAAAGCAATCAGTACCTCTAGTTTGAAGCAAGTTCCAAAGAATTAAGGAGAAATTCTTTGGAATTGTAATGTGCTTCCTCCAGAGCACATTATAGAGAATTGGCTAGAAGGCCTGATCATTGGAGCATGTCCAGCGATAGTAAAATAACTGACATATCTCTGCTGATCTCTCCAATAACATGGAAATTGCTGTCTTTGAGGGAGTCCACTTAAACATTGGGATTAGGATGTTGCATTAGAAAATGTAACTACAGAGAAATAGCTCTAGAGTTACCGTTGGTGGAGTTATAGTTGGTGGAGCTGCAGTGGCGCAATGAGTTAAACCCTTGTGCCACTGAACTGCTGACCTGAAGGTTGGCTGAACTGTTGACCTGAAGGTCAATAGTTTGATCCATGAGATAGGGTGAACTCCCATTTGTCAACTCCAGTTCCTTACCAACCAAGCAGTTTGAAAACATGTAATTTGTGTAGATAAATAGGTACCACTTCAGCAGGAAAAGGCAAAGAAACACTCCAAACAATCTTGTCAAGAAGCTGACAACGCAGACTCCTCAGCTTGAAATATGGAAGAGAGAAACTTACCAGAGCTAGGGATGAAGCACCACCTGCAGAAAGCCAAAAATGAAAAGGAGAAGCCTCTGTCTTTGTTTGTGTTTGTGTGTCTCATTTGTATATTATTGTAAAGGCATTGAATGTTTGCCTATGTATGTAAATGCTGCAATTTGCTCTGAGACCTCTAAGTGAGAAGGGCGGAATATAAATAAAGTTTATTATTATTATTATTATTATTATTATTAGCCATCCCCTGCCACATGTTGCTGTGGCCCAGTCTGTGTATATGTGTTTTGTGTGTATATATGCATATATGTGTGTATATATTTGTGTATATATGTGGTTTTGTGCATGCATTGTAATGTAGTTTTTGTTTTTGTCTTTTAAAGTCTCTTCTGCTGTGTTTTTCAGTGTTTTTATGAGTGATGGTCACTCGTTGACCTGAGAGGTGTCTTGTGTCCAAATTTGGTGTCAATTCGCCCAGTGGTTTTTGAGTTATGTTAATCCCACAAACAAACATTACGTTTTATTTATATAGATGATGATGATGATTATTATTATTATTATTATCTTTATTTGTACCCCGCTAGCATCTTCCGAAGGACTCGATGTGGCTTACAAAGGCCAAGGCCTCAAAACACAACATAACAATACAAAACCTAAAGCAAATTAAAAACAATTAAAGTAATATTAAACAACAGCAATAAACAACAGCAAGACACAATAAAACTGGGCCGGGCCAGAGTAATGGGTACAGAATTAAAAGTGCTGATGTGACAGGTGATATATTATGACACAAAACACAGTATGTCACAGCAAACAAGATATATATGCTGGATTTTGTATTACAAAATCACAAGTCAAACACTTCCCAAGCATCTAGGACTGTATTATGATGGGTGCCACCTTGTCATGGTGGGGGGCTTAACTGCTCCAAGGATGCTGAGAGCTGTGCTGGAAGTAGTGTAACTACCAGCAGGTACAACCAAGTCAGAGAGGTCTCAGCTAAGGAGTGGGACTAAGAGCATCTAACTCATTAGCACTATAGAGAAACAAACTAAAACGAAATCTATACTGGCTCGGTCATCACCCAGGATAAAAGGACCGTGGTGGATGCTGCTGATTCTGGACATCCATCAACAAGTGGGCTACAGAATCAAAATACAAATGAATAATCACAGAAGCGGCAGAAATATAGGTAAAGGTTTTCTCCTGACATTAAGTCCAGTCATGTCCGACTCTGGGGTGTGGTGCTCATCTCAATTTCTAAGCCGAAGAGCTGGCGTTGCCAATAGACACCTCCAAGGTCATGTGGCCGGCATGACTGCATGGAGTGCCATTGCCTTCCTGCTGGAGCAGTACCCATTAATCTACTCATATTTGCATGTTTTTGAACTGCTAGGTTGGCAGAAGCTGGGGCTGACAACGGAAGCTCACGCCACTCCCCGGATTAGAACCTGCGACCTTTTGGTCAATAAGCTCAGCAGCTCAGCGGTTTAACCACTGCACTACCAGGGGCCAGGAAACTGCACAATTGTTGTTGTTGTTGTTGTTGTTGTTGTTATTATTATTATTATTATTATTATTATTATTATTATAGCTACATGTGAGGTGTCTCGTAATGCAGGATCCTAGACTCTAAAGTTTGAGTTGACTGGTGATATGCAGTCTAACTATAAATAAGGCAAGCATTGTTCCTCTTTAGCTGGAGGTTCCTTCTCCAATTCTGATGAAAAACCACATAAGCGAAGTAACAAAAGGATGTAGATTTACCCAACGGGGGAACTCTCAAATATCATTGATGGTGGAACAACTTCTGTAGAACCTAATGTGACCAACACTGACAAATACATCCTGCAATAGAAAACCCCAGGGTGAAGTTGTGAAGGTTGCCAACTGATGTCCCTTCTCCAGTGTATGCAAATGGCAAACTAGCCAACTGTGGTGCTTTTAACAACAGCACTAGCTGGTATGGAGATATCGGCTAGATCTTATTGTCATCAGTTGGCAATTGCAGTAGAATTGGGCAGTTTTTGCATCTGGACACAACTGTCACTACATAGATGTTTCAGATGGCAATTTATGAGGTCTTTAGTCTTCTCTGACAAAGAGTGCTGGTGCCTCACCAAACTACAAATTCCACATTTCCTTAACATTACAGTTAAAGTGGTGTCAAACTGCATTCACTGTAGAGTGTAGGTCAGGCATGGGCGAACTTTGGCCCTCCAGGTGTTTTGGACTTCAACTTCCACAATTCTTAACACCTAGTAGGCTGTTAGGAATTGTGGGAGTTGGAAGTCTAAAACAGCCAGAGGACCAAAGTTTGCCCATGTTTGGTGTGGATGCACCAAGTTGTCTCTGCATGTTAAGACTTCTTTAACACACCATGTGGAGAAAACATTTTCTTTTGAAAACCAACTCCTTTAAGACTCAATAATGGTGACAACAGATAAGAAGATCCAGGATTTGGTTTTAACTTAACTTTGAAGACTTAATATATTGGACCATATAGGGCACTTCTTCCCGAGGAATCATGTCTGGGATATCCCAGATTTTGTTTAAGGAGTAGCTGTGTTGGATCTAGCCAACATATTTGAAACAGATGCCTGAGCATCTCCTTCCCCTTTGCCATTTGCATTTGGCGTGTTGCAGCAAATCCGAGAACCTGGGGATCTAACACTTGAGCGGATGTGGAGCCAGTAGTTAGTAACATCTTGACGGATGGTGGCAGAAGAGAAGAAGAAGATCACAGGGTCCAGAATGGTGTTGAGGGAGGTGAAAACAAAGGTCTCCATTCTCCAGGTAGGATTCTTACCTTCAATAAAACCCACAAGGTGAGATATATTGTAGGGAGCAAATGCCAATGAGAAAATAAGGACAGTGGCCAAAGCTAAGGCCACAGCCCGTTGCTTCTTCTGTGGTTTGATGTTGGGCATGGAGGACAGGATGCGGATCACACGGATGTAGCAGAAAAGGGTAATGATGAAAGGGATTAAGAAAAGAACAATGCAGACCTCCAAGCGAATAGTGAGGACAATTTGGAGCTGGCTAGGAGGGAAGTTGTTATAACACGTGGAGTTGGGGCCATCTTTCTTTGCAGTTCTGTCAGAGTATTCTATCCCATAGGCAATGCCTAAGCAGTGGGAGCAGGCTAGAAACCAGAAGAAGAGGCTGGCCACTTTTGCATAAGTCGGCCTGTGGTTTAACTTGTGCTTAACTGGATAAGCAATGCATAGATAGCGCTCCACACTGACTCCCATGAGGAAGAGGGTGCTAAGGTAAATACTGCTGTAGAAGATGAAGAGGGCCGAAGGGCAAAGAAAGTCAGGGAGAGGCCAAGTGTTGTCTAAGGCAACCTCCACCATCTTGACAGGCAAAATGATTAGATAGAAGAGGTCGGATATGGTCAAGTTGAGCAGAAGGATGTCTATGGGGAGTGACTTCTCACGCACTTTCTTTAGGAACGAGTAGAAGGCCAGGAAATTGGTAGGAAGTCCCGTGAGAAAGACAAAGATGTACACAGCAAGAACAACAACTTTCCGGGTCATCTTCTGTAGACCTGGAAGTGAAAAGAGACAACATTAGAAAGAAAAATAACAAGAAGCAAAAAAAAAAGCACTTGTTATATTTTAAAATTACCCTTTGACCATATTTGAAGGGATTCTGCAAATATAATTAATTGACCAGGGCACTGGGTATTCTCTGTTACTGATTCCTCAGATTATGTTGTTTTTCTTTGAAGCCTTCTTCTTCTTCTTCTTCTTCTTCTTCTTCTTCTTCTTCTTCTTCTTCTTCTTCTTCTTCTTCTTCTTCTTCTTGTAAGCACCATTTTTGTTTTTGTTATGTGCGTTCCAGACATATTTGGTTCAAGGCAATTCTAAGGTAAACTTAACCTGTTGTTTTCTTGGCAAGATTTATCAAGAGATGCTTTGCTACTATCTTACTCTGGGATTGAGGGAGGATGACATGCTCAAGCTCAACTACTGGGTTTCCATGACTGGTCTCTGCGAGGATGTTGCCCAGGGGATGCCTGGATGTTTGATGTTTTACCATCCTTGTGGGAGGCTTCTTTCATGTCCCCGCAAGGGGAGCTGGAGCTGACAGAGGGAGCTCAGCCTACTCTCCTCAGATTTGAACCGCTGACCTGTCGGTCAACTGTCCTGCTGGCACAAGGGTTTAGCCCATTCAGTAGGTAAAAGGCTACTATTGTGTACTGTAGGAAGGAGATTTGTTTCGAGCAATGGTTCCCAACCTTTTTTGACCAGGGACCACTTTAACCAGGTACCTGTCTCCAATATTAGTACCAAAAGGGTTACGAATCAGTTTTTGGTCAACTTTAGATTCGGTTTGGCTATTTGGGATGCTGATTCAGAAAATTGCATTGGATAGACCACATCAGCTCTAGTTTCTGATACAGAACATCTGCCATCCAGTAGTTGCCATCTGCTTGCCCACAGATAACCATATTTAATACTCTAGAGGTGATATGATAGTAGTAATCTTTCATAGGTGGTCAGTCTCTCCCCTCCTGGCATCTCCGTTGCCTCAGCACTATAAGAGGGTTTTGTGAGACCAGTCGCTCTCGTTGCCATGTGGTTTTGAGGCAATGGTGTAGTAATGGTGAGGCCGCAGACCATATTTTCATTCTTGCAGATCACTTGTAGTCCATGGACCAGTGTTTGGGAAACACTGCCCTTGAAATTCTGCAGTATTTACAGTAATTACCCTCAAAATGCTGCAGTATTTACAGTACTGATTATGAGGCCATGAATAAGTAGACCCAGATATTTTAATCAATATTTTCATGGAAATTCTTGGTTTATACACAGATAAACATATCAATAACCTTAATTGTGACTTTTTAATCAGGAGCATTTTGTCAGTATATATCATATCAATTCCTGCAGCATTTTAAATCCTTACTTGTATTGTCGTTGATTGCTTGCCCTGCTTGATCTTCAAAGATGGTCCTATTTCAAATCTTCTGGAGATGATCCTTGGACAGGATTGGATTTTCTCTCCCCAAAGTAACTGCTGTCTGGTTATATGACAGAGGATGTCCTTATGTTTTGGAAAAAGTGAGTTCATCAGTTTAAAAAGAAAATTATGACCAATAGCACCAACTGTTGTTACACTATTATGCAAACTTACTGTGAAAACCAGGTCCTAAGCTATAATGATTTCATGTGTCTCTTCTAGGAAACATCATACTACGGAACTATTATTTCCACATATGCAGACGTAAGAACCTTTTAAAAGACACACAAAATCATTTTCTCCCATGACTGCATGCTTCCAAAAATTGCATACAATTGAAAAAGCACAGGCTTCCAGATATCCATGCAAATATTAAAGTGGCATAACAATGGGACAAAGGGAGCTGAAAGTGCGAAAATGCGAACCTGAGTGAGATGGTGTCATTGTGGACCTAATTCATCCTAATTTATGACTTGGACCACACATCTACTTTATTTTTTCCTCTGGGATGCAGATATTGCATTCCCTGAGCCAAGGATACAGTTCTCCATTGCTTTGAACAGGCAAACTGTATGGGCTGAATAAACTACGTGTTGCTTTTGATATCTTAGAAGGGGTAGTTACACTTGAATGGAATGAGCAAGATACAAAGCTGCATGGGTAAGCAGAATTTTCAGGCTGGGCATGGCCCCAAGGCAATTTTTGTGGCCCTTGACTCTTCCAAGCTCCCTGGACTGCATTGTGAACTGCCTCTGATGAAAGTGGCTAGAACTACTTGTTGTGTTATAAGACAGTAATTATAGACTCCAAAAGTTGGAAATGCCCTCACTGGACATCTTGTAAAACTTGTAAAATAACAATATTTTTTTCAAAAGAAAAAAAAACTTGCAGTAAGATGAAAAGCAATGTATATTTCCACTTTATTTATATTTGAAATGTTTTTGCCTACTTTTTCTAATTGCAAAGTCTTTTATTTTTGGGAGACCCTTTTGGTGGAACCTGGTTCAGTTGCATCAGGTTTTCACTGCCCAAAGTATCTGAAGTGTCCACCTAATTATATGACAGAGGGTGTCCTTATGGTACATTTTGGAGTGAGTCCATGAGCTTAGAAAGGAACTTATGACTAGTATCAACAACTGTTGCGCCACTGTGAAAGCCAACTCTTATGTTTTTCTTAGCTATAATGATTTCATATGTCTCTTCTTCTAGTAAACATCTTATTTCCACAGTACATAAGGAGAGTGATGAATGAAAAATAACACAGGTGACTCAGTCCAAACACTGGGATAACATATAGTGGTAAATCCATCCATTCATTCATTCAAAGGGGATCAGTTATTGTAGCTATCATTACCAGTTTGGGCCTAGTAGTGATATATTATTATATTATTGTATCAACATTTGTTTTTGTTCTTTTATTTCCTACCTTCTGTGTAGGAAATATATATTCTTATTGCCCTTGATTTATTTTCAGAGATATATTGTAGTAGAATCATAAAGTTGGTATAAACCCCAAGGGCCATCCTATTATTATTATTATTATTATTATTAATATCCTGCTTTTTCTTCCCAAAGAGGACTCAAAGTTGAAGCCTCATGCCACACAAGAACACACAATCAACGCACGCACACACTCACACACACCCAAACAGATGGCCATCTAGCCTCTGTTCAAAACCTCCTGAGAAGGAGGAAAAACCTCCCGGATAGACTGAGATCCGATATCACAAATGTAACTTCATATTGTCCTCTAATATGACCATCAAACTTACCTGAAATGCCAGAAGTCACCTTGAGTGATAGAGGAGAGGTTTGTTATGCTGATGATCAGAGCATCAAAAAATAATATTTCCAGTCTTTTCCTGCCAGCAATCTGTTGTAGGATGAGGAACTACCAGGGCTCCCAGTTCCTGATCTGCATTTCAACTGACCAGGAACACCTCTGTCAGGCCCGTAGCCAGGATTTTGTTTTGGGGGGGGGGGGGGGCTGAGTCTGAGTGAAAGAGGGTCTACCCTAGCAAACCTTTTGTATCATTACCCCAAAACCCCCATGCATATGGGATATATTGAGCATGGTGATCAGATCATGATATGAATAAACATAACAGTTTAAATAATGTACCAGTAAGGCCTTCTCACGGACAACCATCAGAATTTCGGGGGGGGGGGAGCCCCCCCCCCCCCCCGGCTACATGCCTGACCTCTGTATTCTTAATTCACTTCAGACATGATAAATAAGTGCCTCAAATGTATTCCTCAAATAATGAAGAAGCAGTTCAGAAATATAGGTGCACTTATAAAAGAATTCCTCCTCTTTTTACTCCCCATAGTAAAAGACAGAAAGGCAGACAAACTTTGCCAAGCCCAATCAGTTAATTTCTCAAATGCTTTCCTTTCTTTGTGGCCATTGGTTTCTGTTTTGAGATTGAGTTTGACTAGCTTTATTTTAAAAAACTAAATGGGGAAAGTTTAATTTAGCCTTACTAGGTAAGCATACTTTTATTCTGAAGTACTGAGTATGGGAAACAGAGTAAACCAGTAATGTTGAACGTATAGCTCTCCAGGTGTTTTGGACATAAGCTTCCAGAATTCCTGGTCATTTGACAAGATGGCTAGGGCTTCTGGAAGTTGAAGACCCAAACATCGGGAGGCCCACAAGTTTGACACCTCTGGTGTAAACACCATAGCCCAAGTCCACATGTTACTCCCAAGTTGAGAAAGACCACTGAATAGATGGGAATTTGAAAAGTCAATACAAATCTTCCATTAATGAAACAAGTCTACCCTAGATTAGGTTATCATTGGATTTAGGTCTACAAACACAATGAGATTTGACCGACATCCTATTAGTGTCATACACAAGAGTAAGTCAGTGATATGCCTGCAGACATCTCTTTCTGTTTGATGTGATATTCCCTTCCTCCATCCAGACCAACTGTAGAGTCACTGCTGTCCCACCCCATGGTGACACTATGCTTGGTAGATCATAATGAGAAACTGCATCTGTGTCTTTGCAGCCACATGCAAAGAGTTCTGAAGGATATCTGTGGATCTTAGCAGAGGATGCAATCATTTCGTATCAGCTGTGGAGATATAGCCAGATGCTTCTCCAGTTCCCTAATCCATTCTGTTTGCTAGACACAAAATGGCCATGGGGTCGGTCAGGGCTGAAGTGACTTCTGGATAGACTTAGGAAGAGTCAGTGGATCATCACCTGTAGAGAACTTCTATAAGCAGAAATACTACATGTCTCTGGACTGCACAGAATTATGTCCCTTATCCTACTCTTAGTTTTGTTGACATCATATTTCAAAAACAAAGAGATGCATTATTCCCATTATCTTCTGCCAGAACTACAGTATCTATTACATCCAATTATGTTCCATTAATGAAATAGTGACTTTTTATTATATGCTTTTTAAAAGGAACATCAGTAGCTACATTTGCTTTTCGAAACTTCTTGTGTTCCATTTGGAGAACCTTCTCTCAAAAATAAATCAATTCATCTCAAAGGGGGAAAAGACTCAGAACCTTCATAAAAAGATCCAGTGATTTAAAACTATCATCCAAA